TGTGGGTCCAAACAATCGAAACGCCGCAATATCAGAAGACGAATTAACATTCTTTCTGTTTCTTTCTCATCATGGATCGACTTAAATCAAAATATCAAAACGATATTACGTACTAAAACATATTCTCATACGTTCCAATTGCATACACCTTGACATCATAACATTGTTGTGCCTACCAAATATCATAGATTTATTCCATCTGTAAGGTTCATTAATTTTGTCCTTTAAAGGGACTATAATGGTAAAATTTACTGTTTAAAATATCCTTAAAAAGTACTATTTTTAGAAGAAAAAGTGTAAAAAAAACTTACGCTTTCTCTTAATAATATTAATTACAAGTGTCTGTCAGCATATTCAATAATTGCAGAAAAAAAATCATATTTTTATTCTACGTTACGTGATACGCCGTAGAACTACATAATTAAGGTAACAATTTACCGGAAGCGGAAGTTGCAATTGACACAGACAAGGCTTACACTGTTTAGTTGGATTCTACAGGGAAGTGTACTTGTATCAGTCTTGTTTAGTTGGATTCTACAGGGAAGGAAGTTGACTTGTATCAGTCTTGTTTGTTATGTATCAAATTAATCGTAATATTCACAGATGCTTTGTATACATGAAGAGAAATTAAGAACATACCAGACAGGATAATACCATCAAATTAAGGATCACCTTATAAAATGGTAAAAGCCAATATTTATGCAATTCCTGTTAGCGACTAAAGACACACCAGTCAGAGCAGAGCCAACGAGTGCATAACGTAGATATAGTTGCCGAGCTCTTCTTGATATCTTTCCTCTACATTGTTGAATATTTTTGCAAATTTGATAGAACGTTGATGCTTGGCTTTTTATATAAACTGGTGTTTTTTCACACTTGACTTGATACATTGTATGGGTTTGTTATAAAAAAGAAACACAATTTAATAAAAAAAAAAAAAAAAAAAAAAAAAGCATGGGAAATTATCACTATTACTTATAAGAGCGCAGCTCTTCTTGCGCCGAAGCTCTTTTCCGGTAACATATACGAACAAAAACCAAGTCATGGTAACGTCGAAATAATATGCTTCCAAAATCCTTCGTCACGGAAGTAGCTAGTGTAGAGTAACCGCGGTCCTATTTTTACAATGCTGTTTAGCTTTGCTACACATTCTCAAAAATATCTCTTTATTTGATATATTTTTTTCTGTGGTTATGTAAATTTATGACATTAAGAATTATAAAAACTGAAGCTTCTTTCAAATTTTCAGTCTTTTCTTCTCTCCACCCAACCCGGAGGTATAGAGTAACTACCAAACCAGACGGAACATTAGGCTGAGGCCAGAGCCGGGGCAATTAAATGCAACAGTACCAACTGCATTTGTGATTTCTCTTGAACTGCATAATTCATTCGAATGCTTTTCTTTACTTATTATTTATTTTACATTGATTGCTTTATCGCTATAAAACGAATGATTAGATGATATTTTAGTTAATGTTATTTAGAAAATAAGATTGAAACAAGCATTTAGACGCTTCGCTTTTTTCAGGCAATGCCTGTTTTCATATTATTGGTCTTGCTATACTGCATGTGCAAGCCGTTATAGAAAAACGTGTACGGAAAGAACGGGAAAATGAGAGTGACTTGGATCTATGCTATATGAAGGCTTCAAAAACGTTCGCCCTTCCGGTCGTACAGGCTCGCAAAAAAACGGCAACATGCGTTGAAATTCCTTTTTTGCACAAACAATTAATTTGATATTTTCGCGACTGTGACGTCACTGTTAGCACGCGTCATCATATTCCGTCTTTGCGTATTGCAGAGTTATCTTCTCTTGTGAGCAGGTATTGATTGTTACGTCATTGGTTTGTGTGAGAAAATTACGTCGTTTTCTCAAAAATTGATGACGTTACTCTCACAAACAAATGACGTACCAATCAATACCTGCTCACAAGAGAAGATAATTCGGCAATACGCAAAGACGGAATAGTGTTGAAGGTACATTCGCAGAAGCCAACTCGAACTTTTTGCAGCTTTACCACATTATTTAGAATATTTTGATTTATTCTTATTCCAACAATTCAGTGCATATCTCTTTCATTTGTAACTTCATTGCAGGCATGGACACATAATGGATATCTTAGATGTAGTGTACGTATTTCATGCATTTATGTTACTTTCAAAAAGTTCTTCTGAAGTTATTTTAACACAAGTTCAAAAACCGACGTTTTCTTTCTGATTCTTTCAACAAACACAAAAGAAGTTCTTTTTTCTTTTGAACGTTCATCTCCGAATAATGTTATAGTTTTCCGTAACCTGATTTTTAAGATAATTATTTCTTTTCAAAGGCGCGTTTTGCTGTGCCGTCTGCTTCTTCTTCTTACCAAATTACTTCAGAGAAAATTATACAGTGAATTATTTTACAGTAATTGTGTGTATATATGTTTTTGCAATATTATCACTATTGGCATCAGAATGATTGAATGAAAACCGTGGAAATGCGGTAAGTATAAATACGGATAGGAAGATATTTCGGCGTATAACTGACATCTGCAAGTATAAATACATGTAGTTTCAACTTTCAAGAGGAACGCCAAATCAAGGCCCAAGTCAAAATTCTTCACCATTTTATGAATGTATCGACTGTTATTCAAGACTTAACAATTCCTCTGTACTTTCGTTTCTTTGAATGTTCTTTGTCTTTTAAAACTAAAGATAAGACAGAATCTCTTCCATGTGTACTGCGTAATGTTATCATTATCCTAATTGTTTACATACAATATATCACTGTTAAAATGTAAGCATCAATTCTGGATTTAAGACATTTGATTCTTTTGAATGCATGTATTGACAAACACTAATCTAATAATGGTGTAAATCATCTTTTTTATTTTATACTATTTTCAATAATTTACGGTACCATCTGAAAAAAAAAAAAAAAGACCGGTAATTGATGCTTACAATTAAAACAACGAACCAGGGCAGATCCATAGCGACAGGGTTCTATATGGGTTAGGGCAACTTGTGGAAACCGGGATAAGTTCGGCCGTGTGGTAACTCCGGCAACTCCTAATATTTTAGTCTTGAGCAAATATTTACAACATTGAGGATTTAAGCAATGCAGTTCACTGGGCAGGTCATTCATACGAAAAAAATGACATGAAAACTATAATTTTAGATTACTAAAAGCGAGAAAATAATTTTTGGGAGAGTAGAACGGAAAGTATCACCTCACTTCTTTCCAGTTTTGCAAACTTTTTGTAAACAGAAATGCTACTTATTGATGGCATACGTGTAACACTGAAACCGACAGCTTCACATGATGGTATACATTAAAGCCTAGCATTGAGTTTCGTATTGCTCTAATATACAGATTTCTTAAAATATAAATTTTGGGCAGGTTCGTCCCATGACACAGGGGTTCGGCCAATGCCATACACGGAAAGCCTGGCATTGGCGAGAAATATGACATTGCATGCTTTCCGACGTCATAATTATGCATGAACCCCAGACATCCTGTCGAACTTACCCCAAGGCGGTGCACATAAGGCCATACACTCTTCCAACAGTAAAGAGTTTAATAACTCTTCAAAAACGGGCATGTTTGCCATTCTGTTATAGTTTTATGAAGGACATGGACTTTTCTCTTCTGAATGGTGTTAATACACATACATTTTAACAAATACTGTCCAGAACGACTTTAAATAATGAAAATGGGGCAAACTTGCCACTGTCACTTACCCGACATTTTGAAAAAAAATCCCACAGGCTGTCAGGGGTTTGGGTAGGGATGAGGAATCCTTATACTTATCCCTCACCTCCATCCCCCCCCCCCCCATTTTTCTTTTATATATAATGGTATATTGAATTATGCAAGGATTGAATTCTAGCTATCTACCGACTGTGCATATAATGAAACAGTTAAATAATGCAGAAAACTGTATTTTCATGTGTGCCCGCTCATGTACGACTTGATTGTCCCTCTGTACGGAATATTATAGACGTAATATATGTCCATATTCCGCTACTAAGATAAAGAGGAAATTTAATGGTGTACAATAGTATACCATATACCTGTCATCAGTATGATAGAATATCGATATTTTTCTCGAGTTCAACACTATGGGAAGTTATTTATTTATTCTGCCTATTATATTTTTTATAGTTTTCTTCCGGAGGATGCAGATTTTAAACGTCAGTTATCATAAACTGCAGGTGTTTGCTCACTGACGTTTCAAACTGCATGGTGGCCAGCTGTAGATATACCCTCACCTACACTAGTCAAACTTGTTTTTACATTACGTTGGCGAATACGTAATGTTATGTACTGTTATATTGTACTGTTTTATTGCTAAAAATTACGTAAAGTCATATGCAGTTGTGTAATGTTGTTATATAATGTCGTTAACGGCCATTACAATCACAATTGTAGTTTTGTTGTCTAGTGTACAAGCTTGCAGTCTTGACGTCATACCATGCAAACAAGCAGCATGGCATGAATATATTTAAAGATATGTTACTTTTGAATGCAGACAATACAAAGTATCGTTCTAATTGGTCAATAATTACAGTCTTCGCATATGAAAATATATTGAATCTCAAATTGCAGGTAAAGTATAAGTTTTTACAAAATTGATATGTTATAATTCATTTCAACAATATAATTCAATGGTAGACTCTTAACAAATTTAGGGAAGTAAAACGCGGTTTATGTTGTAGTTGGTCCGACTGTCGGCAGACATTAACACACTAACCAAAGTCAGAGGCAAATACATTATTAAGGAATGACGTTAACTGCGATGACTGTTTCGCAAATAACAATCTAAATTGATGAAAAAAATCACGAAACGATGACATCCAGAAACTGGGATCTTCCTTAGCACGACGGCATTCGGGACGTCTTCGTTAGATGCTAATCAGAGTGCAGAGATATGTCAGTTTTATTACAAGCACGATGTATGAATTCATTATGGCTCCTGTGCGTGAGATTGACAGTAAAAGGCTTTGTCCTCATGCTGTGCCGGAGGACATCTCTGTGTCAACACACTTTATATAATATATGTTTCCAAGCCCAGCAAGCCAGTCGACAAGTGTGGGGAGGTAAGACCAGCAACGCAATCACTAGAACAGCTGCCGTATGAGGAAATAGAAGCTGTTTTTCGGCAGGGACTTTCGTAGCGGGAGGGTGTGTACAGATGAAGAAAACACACTAGTTTTCTTTTCTGTAGGAGAGCCGTGCTGATAGCCATTTCAGTAATAAGGTTTTAACGCTAAAAAAACAATGTCATCCGAAATGGAACGGGTGTTTTTATGTGTAGTATTTGTTTTAACTTGTGTGACTGCACAATGGACGCCGCAAGATTTCCACACAGTGGAAACCCATCTTATTCAAACACAAGCCAATATCAAACAATTATATGATACCGTTCAGAAGGAAAAGATAAAGATGTATGGTTCAAATACTCTAAATGGATCCATTCCTGCCATAGGGATGGGCATAGCTTACGGAACGTTTTTTAATGACATGTTAGTTCGGTTATCCGACATTGAAAACGCCACTAGAGAGTTAACCAACTACATGCAGAAATGTCCAGATTCGCCAATGGGTAAGTTTGTTATATATAATATATGTTGTTTCGAATTTTTTCTTTCTAGTTTTGCTTTTGATTTAGAAATGTGCTTCGTAAAAAAATGATCATTATTCACATGTATAATTCGTAACATTAATTACGCGCAATTTCGTTTTGAATATTTAAATGATTTTCATTTTTTCCAAGGCAACGAAATTTATGTATTTTAGTCAATGAAAAGCTGCGCTTATTGCGGCTAAGATTGAAAGAACATCAATTTCCTTGTAAGCAAGAGTGACGTCATATCAACGATAAACTAGAAAATATCAGCTATGTCCTTCAATCGCATTTAACTATTTGAATATTTATTTTTTTCGATTGTGGACTTTTATTGTGGTGAATATGTGGTTATATGGACCTGATAAAGGGGATATTAACCTCCACTTCGTCCCGGTTAATATCACATCCTCAAGTCCATTTAACCACATATTCACCTATGCATTTGGCAGAGCATTGTGATGTTACAATTGAAATGTCGTCACAACGTGAATATTGACCTACTGTTGCTAAAAACAGTAACATCTAGTCAATATCACAAATCAGCGACCTCCACATTATTATGATACGAACTAATGCAGATGTAGGCAAAATAAATATCATCTTATATATTCACATTTATTTAAATTTTTTTTGCTATGGCAGTCCATGCGCGTAATTTAGGATAGAGAATCGATACCAGGTACTGAAAACATTTGGAAAATGATGAGACTTTTTACTTGTGTGGATGAACATGTTTTAAAATTAAGTGTTAAATTGAAATATGCAGAGTGTACATGTAAATTAATCTATCAGAATTTGTCCACATTGAAAAAATATTTTTAGATATCTTGTTTAGAGAAAAAGTTTGGCGGTATAAGAACCTATTATGAACACCACGCTCTTCTACCACATTCAGACCTGCTGCGCGCTACCATCCGGGCCAATCAGAAATATTGATATAAGTTGATAGTTCTCGTTTCGCAATTGTTGTAAAACAATTTTTTCTTCAACCATTTTTCAGTTACATTATCTTTCTATATCCATACTTCGTTGTGTCATACATTTAATTTTCTAGAGTAAAGTTATTTTTCTATTCTGCAGAGTTATCGCCCTTTCTGGTGTCATTGTCATTTCATTTTTTTATCACGCGGTTATCCCATTTCCCATGATTTATATCTTCCTATTGCCGAGGTATTCTCCTGTTTTAGTTATTAAACTATATATTGTCTAGTTGTCCGTTTCTATATTCCATTTACCCGTTCCATTCGCTCATGTATTCCCATTCCTTCTACTGTAACAAGGTATATCCCTTCCAATGGGCCAGTTTTTAATTGTTCTACCTTCTAGTCTTACTTCTTTGCATTTCACAGTTTTCCATTTTCCAGGTATTCCCGCTTTTCATCCTCCAGTTATCCCCCTTTCATTTTCCAAGTTATTTCCCTTCCTTTCGTCAATTTGTTTCTTTTTTTTATCACTCCGTGTCCCCCATTTCTTCCATCGTGATCGGTCCGATACCCCATCCCAATCCATTGTCCATTCATAACCTTTTTTCGCTGTTGACAGATCGAAAAACATATATATGTTTGACGACACAGCTAATGTGTTTATAGGACATACATTGTGTTTAATAACAAGTAAGCTGTCAATCAAACTTCACATTAGCGTTACGTCACTATGACATCATATGCCTTTGGCTCTCTGACGTAGTTATGGCTTGTTCACCGAAAGGTGGAGAGTTAGGATACTATTGTGCGCATCTCGTGCGATTATACTACGTGTACCTGTGATTTACAGGTATTGCCTATAGCTATGGTATCAATACATGTGACCTTCTTACCCACGCGTTGATCAATTTACCTGATCGATGCGTTACCTGGAACACCTGTCAAAATGCAGACATATCTACAGCAATAACGTGTCAATTACAAAACCCGGATTAATCACTAATGGACACATATAGGCGATATAGCCAACACAGGACACCGTTGTTTATTATAACCTGTCATTTACCCATATGCTATTCGTAAACAGACATATACAACATAATTTATTATAAGTTGGAAAAACATACTTTTTTTATTACAAAATTTCTCATCCATGGTATCCGTCATTTATATTGTGACCTCTTGACCTCCTGTTACTATAAATTGTTGTAACCCGTCACTGTAAGCTTGGCCACTGAACTCCTAGCTCAAAAATGTAAAAAACAAAATTATTCATTTTTTTTTTACGATTTCTGTCACAATGCAACAAAGTATATTAGGATCACTATCTCTGTACTGTGCGTCTTTTTTTTTCTTTCTTTCTAGGATTTAGTAAACGGGATACATTAAATGACATTCTAACCATGCTGTCATACTTAAGTTAGTGAGTTAAACATAAGAGAATAACGAAGTGTAAAATAAACCGTAAGTCGAGTTTGAAGTCGATGAACCCATCAATAGACCAATAAAAAGGAAATATTTGCATTAATTCTTATGAAAAAGTACAAGGAAAATAAGACTGGTGTTCCGGAAGGGTAACCGTCCTCTGTTTCATTAACGACACTCACAGATCATATAGTTAGTGACATCGAAAACGCAAGGCACTCTGAAGTATGCGCAGATAATTCGAAATTAGTTGTTTGCTTGGTCAAACGCGATTTATTCAAATGATGGCAAAAAATTGAAAAGTGTGACAAACAAATAATATTAATGTTACACTTACACAATGTATATCGAGGTATGGGCACGCTAAATGATTACATTGACCAATTAATTTCAACCCCTAAAGAGGCTTTCTGTTTGTTGATTTTACCACTATTATCAGTCGTTTTACTCTTCAACATAAATAAAAATAAAATGGAAAATATGTTCTAAATGTCAGGTAGGCTTGAACTGCAAAAGCTTACAGACTTCATGATTATGTATGCTATTCATGTCCAGATCCTTTCATCAAAGTTTCATTATGAACAATAGCCTACGTCGAGCAAGATCCGAGTTTGAATGACACGTGTTGGTTCTTTAAATTAGTTTTATCTTCTTTCTTCCGGAGCTATAAATTGCGATGTCACAAAGCGGTGCATCTCATTAGTATGAAAAGAGCAGACTGTCCTATTCTTTACAGGAAATAAACACTTGTGTCATGTTTTACGTACAAATTTATCAATTAAATAAAAATTATGTAAATCACTGACGTTTAGACGTAATTTAGTATTTTAAACGTTGCAATATGAATGTAAAACGTACAAATGGCTTCAATATCATATATATCATCACCACAAACGTGACAGTTTTGACGGACCCACAGTTAAGATGATATTTTCCTCTCTAGAAAATCACAGGTAAAGCATCAAACGAAACCAATACCATTATCTTCTGATAAGCGTACCAACCTGTGACAAGATACTGCATTTCAGTGTTATTATTGTGTTAAGCGATAAGAGGAGAATTAACGCATTGATAAATTTGGGTTTTGAGATTGTTCCCATGTGTACTGTTTCTTGACCAGGAATTGTCGCTGTTATATTGAGTTCTCAGCTTCAACGTAAATACAAAAACAACTGTAAAACCAGTAGTGATAAAGCGATAAAACCGACTGATGTCGTCTTTTGAAATTGTATAACACTTACCAACAACGGAGACAATATTTGTATTTCTCCTGACATGAAATGTTCTCCCGAACATCACAATCAAGACGATTTATTTTCTTAAACAGAAAGAATGTTTTTGTTCCCGGTGGTTGATTATGAATCAGTTTTACTTCAGTTTTGAGAACTTTATTTCTTATATATCTTTTAATAATTCCCATATCACAAAACCATAAAATCTTATCTATTATTGGTTATTGCCATATTATAATAAATATCTTAACAACTCTTAATATCTATATTTCAACGTAATAAACTAATGTAAAAAAACACCACAATATACATATGGTAAAATACAATCTCATTGTTCCGATATTGTGTTGCCTATCTGAGTTAGTCCATTGCTAGTATGCTAATTTTATTGTTGGGCGTAATATAATCCCGTTTTATCATAATTAGAGGACCAATACTTATCTGACATAAAAAATAATTAACAACAGCTGACCAAGTTACTTCAGTGATAACGTCAATATTCCACTCTACTACGTTCAGAGAATTTAAACAAATAACGTAAATATCCCACAGATAATCTCTACAAACAGCTCCTATACCTTTTCAACTTACTCTCCAAAAACATTATAAGGGCGGTCGGCTGTATATTAGAGAGACGCCAAAACAATTCATGCATAACTCTAAACCAAAGGGTAAGTGTCTGTCCTTTAAAATACATGGACACTTGTGAAAACAAAACATGAACTTTCAGATTTTTTTTATAGTATTAAGACCACATGTGTATAAAATAATGTCGAATTACATTGTTTTAAGTTATACAAGTGTAACCTAATGCTGGCCTATTTCACCAAATATTTGTAATGTGTCTTATTTCCATTTCATTCATAATGTTTTATGCCCGTTTGTATTATTCCTGTTGCCTTTTTTGTACACGTCCCTGACCTAGTTACTCTCGTCGCTATATTGGGTGTCCAAATGTGTTTTTTTTCTTCTAGTTACTGCATGTGTCTACTTCATATACTACGTAGGTTATTTCGGAACTTTCCCTGTCTACAACTTGTGCCACGTTGTGTTGCTCTGGTTGCATTGTGTGTTGCCCTAGTGACACATTGTGTTGCTCTGGTTGCATTGTGTGTTGCCCTAGTGACACGTTGTGTTGCTCTGGTTGTATTGTGTGTTGACCTAGTGCCACGTTGTGTTGCTCTGGTTGCATTGGGTGTTGCCCTAGTGACACGTTGTGTTGCTCTGGTTGCATTGTGTGTCGCCCTAGTGCCATGTTGTGTTGCTCTGGTTGCATTGTGTGTTGTCCTAGTGACACATTGTGTTGTACTGGTTACATTATGTGTTGTCCTGGGATCTCTGTGTGTTGTCCTAGTGACACGTTATGATGTACTGGTTACATTATGTGTTGTCCTGG